TGTCGCCGTCGGTAGCTTCCACAGATGGAGAGCTCATAGCCCTTTCCCAGGTACTTCCGCAGTCTCAGCTTTAAAAATGCTTCGTGCAGTCTTACTTCTTCGTACGGGATGCGCTGCATAATGTCACGATGGTACTTGAGCCCTAACCGCTGTGCCTCAGTGAGGTGCAGGACAGGATCTTCATCCCCCGCTGAAGTTTTTTTGGAACCCTTCTTGGCACCACCACTATTACCGCAATTGCCACCATCCCTATCCCCATCTCCAATACCCTTCTCCGCCTCGTGATCCTTCACGCGTTGTTGCAGCTCGGCCACGGATTTGATGCCGTATTTCTTGTAAAATGTCACTGCGGTACGGGGACCGACGCCATGCACCTGCGTGAGCTCCTGAATGGCGCGAATGATGGGCTTTGCCTGCAAACTGTGGAGCTCGGCGAGGTCACCCATTGAGAGAATCTCCACAATTTTGGCTTTAAGTTTCTCTCCCACCACCGGTGTCGCATTCACGGCGTTCAGCTGCTCCGTCCTCTTCGCGTCATCCACGCCGGGCGGCAGAATGTTCGGTGGCAGGTGCACAAAGATGAAGTCATCCCTCTTTAGGTTGTCCACAGCAATCTGGTACGACTGCGCCTTGTATCTTTCCTGAAGCGCATTGTTAATCTCCGCCAAACGCTGAAATATTTGCAGGACCTTCTCGCGGTGGTCTGGCACAAAACTGGACGCCTTTGATATCGTTCGCACGCCTTTCAGCTGTGCGGAGGCCTGAAGGGATGTCACAGGCCTGGTGCTATCACCACTGCCGCCGCGGCTGTGATGCAGGGGCTTACGCTGCCCTGTGGCTTTTGTTGCTGCCGCTGCTCGGGCCTCACGCAAGGTCGTGGACTCGGCCACAGGTGCTGCAGCAGTTGTGGTGGCTCTCTTCACAGCCCCCTGTGCACCAGCGGAGGCCACGGTGCGTTTTGCCACACGCAATAGCCTTGTTGCTCGCAAAAGCATCATTATATTCCTCACCGCAGCACACAACCCAAAAGACAGTCCTCCTCCACCTTTACGTCGTCGTTGGCAGCTGCAGAAGAGAAATTTTACTCGCCCCGCAAAAAAAAAAAAAAGAGCTCAAATTTCTATGTCTGCCACACACACACACACACAATTTCTCTTTTCTCCTCTCGATATATGTGGTTGTTTTTATATGTATATATGAGTGACTGACGTTAGAGATGTATTTTTGCGGGGGAGTTACACGCTCGTGGTGTCTTGACCTCCTCCTCTTGCACCATTTATCGAGAGTAACAAGGCGGGAAAGAAAGGCGATGGTAGGGAGTATTCGCAAGAAACAGACAAACGAGAAAAAAAAAAAAACCAGAAATCTGCTCGCAACAATACATGCAGATGCACACACAAACACACACACACACACACACACACTCTCTCTCTCTCTCTTTTTTTTTTTTTTTTCATTCTCTTTCACAAACAGTCTCTCTGTTGCCATTTTTCACCCTCTCTTTCGTTGCTTCGAAGCGAAAATTACCCCTCTTGCCTTTTATTCGTTTTACCCGCGTAGCCGTTTCGTCGTACCAACGCCCCACGACTCGTACTCCTCCAGCAGCTGCACGAAAAGGGGCGTCAGCTGTGCCGTCTGTTGACTCTCCAGCGACGCAAAGGAGAGCCGCATAAAGTCAAATCCAAAACACATCTTCAGTTCCCCGGAGCTTGGGGTATCCAGCGGCTTTCTTTTCGGGGTTTCTCCCCTCTGGACGTCTTCAAGTGACTTCACGGCCTCTTCAGAGAGACTCGATTCAGTCAGGGCTGTCAATGCATCCGGCGGTCGCGGTTTCCGTCGCTTGCAATGCAAGTCAACGTCCCTTCCGTTCAGCTGCGACTTCATGAGCCCCGGCAGCTTCGGGTACCGTTGCGAGAAGTGATTAAGTACGACATGCTCCGCACGGATTGCCGCCGCCACCTGCAGCGCCTCTGGTAAAGTGGAATGACATTTTTGTACCGCCTCCTCCCCGCAGTCCTCGCCAAATGTGGCCTCATGGAGGCAGAGAAACACGCCTGGACCATCATCCCCTTCCTCTTTCGGTTCTTCTTCCCGTTGCTCATGGACACGGCAAGTCCATCTCGTAAACTTTCGACAGCGCTCAATAAGAAGCGGGGACGGTCGTGTGTCGCCCGAAAAGAGAAAGACACGAGACGCGGTCGTAGCCCCCATTGGGGCGGGAAAGCGCAAGAGCAGTGCGTGTGCATTGGCAGGGTGATCCACCGGAAAAACTTCAGCACCCCACACTGGCGGTGACGCTCCATGACTTTCTGAATGGTTTGTTGCTGCCGTCTTTTCGTCAAGACGTGCACACACCGCGTTGAGACGCGGCAGAAGCACCGATGTGGCGGGAGCCTCACCGACCCGATGTCGTTCGGCCGGAAATACATCATAAACGACCTCCTCCTCTAACCATTGCCGGTACGCCGTACAGCGTCCCCATGTATCCTGCAAAAACTCATGCACCTCCTGCGGGCATACGACAAGCAGAGGCTCATTCAGATTGCCGCTGTAAATTGAATCCTGTTTTTCCACCTGCAAACGTACGCGATGTCGCAATTCAAGAAGCGTCATCAGCCCAAGGTGATGATCGGCGTGTGCGTGAGAAATAAACACAAATACCAAATCATTAAAGAACTGAAAAAGTGCCTGAGCAAAGCCATTGCCCCAAAAGATCGCCAGCTGCCCCGCATTCCCCTCACCAAAATCCAACACAACAACAGCCCGGGAAAGGGTTGTGCTGCTCCGAGCCTGATACATCACCTCCAGGTACGTTCCACTCACGTTGCGATACTTACTTGGCATGGCGGAGCCTGTGCCCAAAAACGTCAGGGCCCCCCCGCCGTCAAGATGCCACGTATTGCCGCTGTCTTTATGGCCACAAATGCCATGGAAATTGTCGTGGGTATCACCATGAGAATGATGAAAAACCGAGGAAAAAGAAGAAGGAGACAGCAATACACTTTGCATTTGTTCATTTACTCTACGAGCGATAGAGCGAAATTCTTGTGAGAGCATGTCCACAGCCGAGCGTGCCGTCGGGTACCGCAGCAGAACTGACACATCCTCCTTGTTCGAATTGCCGCCCTTCCTTTTCTGTTGCTTGCTGCCAGGGACCAACGAAGAAAACGTCGCAACATGAAAGGCGGGACCCTTCGTGGCCAAATTGTATTTGTTGTGTGGGATGTGCCCGGCAGCCTCTGGAGGAATTAACAGATGCTTCACGGCGTACGGCCATATTCGGCCGGTTTCCTCCTTCATCCTTTCATGCTCCTTTTCTCCCGCAGATGGGAGTGTTATGGGGAACTGCGCATTGGCAATACAGTTGAGATGATAGCGGTGTGCGAGAGCGGTGGGAAAAGCGGAGAACTGCTGCTGCACAACGGCGCAAAAGTGATGCATCGTTCCAGTTTTGGCTCCCGCAGCGAGAACGGAGTCACCGCCATATCTGTCATGGCGGAAAGACTCAACTGCCTGCTCCCGAACCTCACGCTGCACACGTGTAAAGATAGATGTGACATAATGGGCCTCGACCGAACCCGCGGCGCCTGCCGCGAACGAAGAAAAGAAATCGGAGCACTGCACATGCACAACATGCCTGAGCACAAGCGTCCGCTCCATCGGTGGATGTGCCGTGACTGTCGCCTCCCCCGACGCGGCGTGGTCGTCATCACAAAACAACAGGAATGGCTGCCACTGCACGAGAAACCGGCGAAGCTCACCACTTCGCAGCCTCTCGCTTTCCGCGTCAGCAGTCACTCCCTCCTCCTGCTGATCCCCACGGTTCGATGCGTCACGACCAAAGAGCGACTCCAACGCCTCCGCAACCTCCCCGCTGTCATCCCCGTCGAGCACGAGTGAGACGTACATGCATCGACTACCCACCGTCGCCTGTTTCACGCTGCGTGGATGAATAAAACGGCGTGACTTCTCTGCGGGATGGGCCACACAAGGAGGACTCTGTTCGTCGTCTATCCAAACACCAATGCCTTGTTTAAGCTGACCGTACATGGGCCCCGGCGGTACACCGAACGCCTTTGCACGTTTCGGATCAAAACACGCCTTGGGTGCGTGCAGAATGGCGTAGCCGTACGTCTCTTCAGATGGTGTTGACGCCTTGCGCGAAACGCGGAAGCCCAGGAGGGCGCTCGTTGAGCTCAGTAGCAACGCCAAAACAAAGAAGGATGATGCAGAAGATGACGATGATGGCATGTCATGTGGATCAGCAGAAGTTCCTCCCTCTCCTTCTTCCAAGGGGTGCAGTGGCACCTCGCACACGTAGTTCCACGGCAATGCAGTTGGCAACTGGCGCAGCACGGCTCCCACGCGAAGCTGCTGGAAACTCATCGTCCTGTACCAAAAGTAGTGCAGTCGCAATGCCCCCAGCATGCCCTCCAGCCCTGCAGAAAACGGTGGTTGCTGCGTCTGGGCCCCATCACCGTCCTCCACAGTTAGGGAATAACTGCTTGGGCCAAAGAAGTTGGCATGCCGAACACCGGCATCATTGATTGTGAACAGGAGCCCTGGCATGCCCATCACCGCCGAGACGGCCCACCGAGTAAAAAAGAAGCCGCGCGTGCGCACCAGCCGCATATTCGCCTCGGAGCTGAAACGCTGCGTACCCTCTGGGCAGTTGAAAAACAAAAGCTGGCCATCGCCGTTCACTGCCGTGGCCACCCCCGTTGACGGTGTCGGTGATGGAGAAGAAAGTGCCAATGGCTGCGTGGGGCAGCGCAGCGCCTCGTGTTGCACCTGGCCACTGAAGCAGCAGCTGCCGTAACTACCAGGCACATCTGTACCGACTAGCTGAATGTACTCCGCTGCCATTCCACGCTATTTACATTAAAAAAACAGAAACAACAACAATAACAAAAGAGTACAAGAGAAATTTCCATCTCATGTCAATAAGTGAATTGCGAAAGGACGACGAAATGGCAGCGGCATCGGAGAAGAGAACAATACAGAACGCACAAAAACGCAAGAAAAGCACGTGTGAGAAACAACAAGAGCGACCCACTAAAAAAAAACACACACACCCCTCCTAGGCATCACCGCTTCGTGGGCTCCTCTTTCTTTTCCCCCGCCGTGTCTTCACTCTCCTTCCTTTTCTCTCTCGCGTCCTCTTCGTCCCCCACAGCCTGCGTGATGACACCCTCCGCGTTAGTTGCGACCCATGATGGTAGCATCAACTCCGCGTTCATCACAATTCGCGGCAGCAGCATCAGCTTCAAAAAGACTGCCATAAGACGAAACGCCATTTCCTGCGGCACACGCGGTACTTGCCGTGTCATGAGAATCAGCGTCTGCGCAAGCCGATCCCATGTGGGAAAGTACGGCGCACGTTTGCAGTAGTAATTGCGCCGCTCGCCCCAGAAGAGCTGCTCATCGCCGTGCAAGACCTCGGCGTCAATCACACGTCCGTAACTGCCGTCGCTAATTCTCTTCTGCTGCGCTGGGCGGTACTCCACGGCGACAGCAGCCTGTGTCAAATGACGTCCCCCGCGGCGTGTGAGAAACCCCCGTTGTACAACCCGCATCCGCGATAAAGATGCCGCAGACGATAACAAGGAAGGCAGCGACATGAATTTTATTCCGCGTCCGCGTTTATTTCTTTCCTTCCTTCCCTTAATTGTGCTCCTTTGCACTCCGCTGGCAGTAAAAAGTAAAGGAACACATACACACATGGAAAAGAAATAACCAAACGGTACTCACACCTCCTCATATACACAGACTTCACACAAAACGAAGGGCAGCCAAAGAAACAGGTGACGTCCCACTCCCGCAGTTGTTGGTGGTGTTCTCCCAACATCTCTTTATTCTTTTACACCTGTACACATCAATTCAGATATTCCCCGCAGACACTCAGAGACAGCCGCCTCCCTCTCTCCCTCTCCTTCAGGATTATTTTACAAAAAAAAAAAAAAAATAATAATAATAATAATAGAAAGAAAGAAGGGTGAAGTGACTGAAAGGCGTTTCATACATGCAGAACACATCTTTACAACAGTGTCGGCGTCCCAAAAGCAAAAGAAGAGAGCACAGAACTACGCCAGGACAGCACCACATATACACGTACAAAAAAAAAAAAAAAACAACACACACAAGGAGGCTGTGGGAAAAAAAAAAAAAAAAAAAAAAAAAAACGGCAAGGAAACAACAAAAAAAAAAGAATAGAAACAAACAAAAGGAAAAAGATATAAAAACATCGTATCCACCCAGCTTCCCACCTACTCAGCAAAATTCCTTTTCTTCTTTTAAAAAAAAAAAAAAAAAAAACGGAATCAGGAAGAAACCTGTGGCTATATATATGTATATAAACATCGTCACCTAATTTTTCTTGGGGTAAGTGCCTCACTATTATGGAGCGGCATTGTCTTTTGGAATAACTCCAGCATGCCCAAACTTGCTTCTGAGAGCATCGCCTTGGCAACAAGGCCACCAGCAACATCATCATGATCCATTCCAACGGTGGAGCCGCAGCGGCCACAGAAGTACACCGTGTACTCCCCCATCGTTTCGACTCCATCCTCATTTACGACTGGTACCTGTACAACAAACTTTTTTAGCAGTTCTGGGAGTCTCACAATTTCTTCTTTGTCCCTTCGTTCTTCTTCTTCAACAATTTCCGCATTGCTAGCTTTCCTCGCGCCGTCCCTCAGAGCGGATGATGGGTCAGCCTTTAAGGCGAATTGTTCAGCAGACACGCCGGACCCCGCAGAAGTCTCACCCACTGGGCTCGCTATGGGCATTTTCGGAAGCGTAGACGGAGATGCTGCTTCTGATGGGAATCCATCCGCGAAAAGGCCCTCAAATGGCACATCCGGTAGATGCAGCCACTCCACCCCCATCAACGCCCCAAAGCACCTTGAGCATACAAAACAGTTGCATACAAAACTCCCAAAGATAGCGGAGGCCAGGCCGGTGAAGTGAACGCCGTCGCAAAGACATCCACCAGTAAATAATGAGGCTCCACCACCCCCTTCGTTCTCCTGCGCCGCTGCCACTGCTTCCACCAACTGCGGCGAGACGGCATTAGGACCCGTATTAAGGGCGGGAAATGATATCCCCGGTTTCGATGGTTGGATATCATGAAACGGCTGTGTTTCCCTTCCCTCACTTGTCTCCTTGGCTGTACCCGGAGTAGCCGTCATTCCTGCTGGCGCCACCCGGCCACCACGAGAACTCCATACCCCGTTGTAACGCGAAATGCACAGCGGGAGAAACTCACCTGCCGCACCGTCATTGACCTCTTCATGGGAAAAAGAGGAAGCGCTCCGCTGCCGCTGCAATTCTTGGACGTTAAGCGTCGTTCCCATTGCGTCTGAAAACTCCTCTCCAACTTGGTCAACATTCATTTCCGATGCGGGAAAAGGAGAGTTTCCGACGGCATCCACTCCAAAGAAAGCCGAGACAGCAGATAAAGAATTCGTGCCCGGTGTCCCTTTTGGACCTTCAGCTTCAGTATTGCTCTCTGCTCGAGCCGCACTACTACGCATAGACTCAAGATGATTTGTCATTTCCTTCAAAACAAGTGCAAGATCGCCTGTGGGTTCTTTTTTGGCAGGAATTTTCCCACTAGCGCGATTCCTATCGTCCTTTGTATTGCTATCATGGTCCAACTTCTCCAAACTCGTCAACACTGAAGACTTTGCCCCAGTCGGGAGAGCAATGGGAGGGATCGGAATGGATTTCTCCTCTGCCATTGAAGGAGTTCCATACGGAAATGCCTTGGTGCTACTGTGAATTGGATGATTCGGCCGCACAGGTGAGAGTGACTGTTTTTTCGCCTCACTCCCCACCTGAAGTTCGACAACGGCAGGCCGCATTCGGGCAGGAGTCGCACCAGCGGGTTGGTAATTCATCGGTTGCTGGGCCGTGCCAAGTCGCTGCTCCTTTTCATTAAGAATGCGTTTTTTGCTTTCATCATAAAGGAGAAAAAGATCCTGCAGGGGCAGATGATTGATCGCTTTCTTCCGTCGCTCCTGCTCCTTGTTGGCGTCGACGTGTGGGACGCCATTCTCCCTCTTTAGGTTTCCGCCATCCACGTTCTTCGGAGGACGAAGAGGGGTTCGTGCAAAAATATTCTTCTCCTTCTTGGGAGTATTGCCGCCCGCGTCATTATCGTTCCTGTTACAGTTGTCGTTCTTGTTGGATTTGCTATTGACATCTACGTTTTCCCCATTTTTATTGAGCTTTTGTTTCCTCTGCAGTAAGACAGGGACGTAATTCAAGGGGTCGGCAAGGGGCGGCTGATTCGCAGGCGGCGCCCTCTTCATCGCCTCCTCCTCTTCCTTCATTTTCTGTATTTGCTGCCGCTGTTGTGCCAGCATACCCAATATGCCACCGACACGGTCTTTAACCGCATTGTCATCATTCACACGTTTGAATGGGTACTGATCGTGACGTTTCTGTGCAAAGCCCTGGCGCCCAGCAGCTGCGGCAGCAGCTGCAGCAGCAGCCGAGGCAACTGGGATGGCACCCGTAGAAGGTGCCGGCCCATCCCTATCCGTCTCCTTTCCGAGTTGTTTCAGCTGCAGGTCCATGGCGGGACGTATCGGCGTTGGTGGCGTTGCATCTCCTGTAAGCACACGTCTAAATTCATCCTCAGGGTGTCCGTCGGTGGCACTGAGCTTCTTGATAATATTCGGGATATATCCTAGTAGCACGGGGGAACGAAGGATCTGCCCCGCATCGGGGCGTTGCCGCGGGTCTTTTTTAAGCATCCACAGGATGAGATTCCAGAGCTCATCGGAGAATCTGGAAGGGATACGACGTGGTTCTTTTTTGCAAATCTCACCCATCAGTCGATTCATCGTTGTGGCCTCGAACGGTAGTCGGCCGGTCGTGCAAAGTTCGTACAGCAGCACCCCAAGTGCCCAGACGTCGGATTTGTTGTTGTACGGTTTGCCCTGACAGAGTTCCGGGGAGAAGTAGCACGGCGTGCCGCACATTGTCTGCGCCATCGCAACGGTACTCATTAATACGGTGCTGATGCCAAAGTCCCCCAACTTCACAACGTGGTTTTGCGTCAAAAACACGTTTTGTGATTTAATGTCCCGGTGCAGTAAACGCCGGTCATGCATGTATTTGACTGCCATCGTTGTCTGCACAAAGAGGCTTATCACCTGCTCCTCCGTAAGGCCGCCGGTACTGCTGACACCGTCTCCAACTCCACCACCGCCACCGCCGAGAGCCCAAACGCTGCTTTTGAGATTTTTGAGGTGCGTGTAAACATCTCCACCGTCAGCGTATTCCATCACAATGTAAAGATGCGGGTGCTCCTCGCAGAACTCCACGTAACGGATTATGTTCGGGTACTCCAGTTGCTGCAGCACCACAATCTCCTGGTGGGCATCCCTGCGCTGCCGTGCGGTCATGCTTGCCATGTTTACATGCTTCACGACATACTGCTGCTTGCGACCGGCGTGATAAACAAGATACGCATTGCCAAAACTGCCTTTGCCAAGTCTCCGCACGGCGCTGTATCCAGACCGCTGCAGTGTGATGGGAAGATGCGGTCGCGTTGGCCCGATGCCAAGCCGAAGGTTCAACTCATCCAGAGCATTCATTTTGTCTTCACCCCTCTCCTTCTTGCTTCACTGTTTCAACAACAACAAAAAAAAAAAACAATAGCACCACCAGCGGCAGAAATAACAGCGGTAACAGAACCTCCTCCCTAATCCTTCCTGTATGTATATGTATATATATATATATATATATAGATGTATATAATTGTACAATGTGGCTTTCTGCTAACGGCCCTCTTTGCGTGAAGCCCCCTAATTTTGACTTGTGTGGTGCCTCTTCCCTTTGTTAATCCAACTCCTTCCCTCTTTGCAGACTCAACCACTCACCAAAGCTGTCGATGGGGTGGATGTGTATGCACCTCAAGGCAATGCACGCAAGCACCCACACCGCCTTGAGAAAAAAAAATGCGGAAAGAAATAAAGGAAAAAGGAGAGAAAAAAAAAAGAGAGAAGTTCCTACCAACACAACTCACAAATGAAAAGTGCATGCGTACACACACACACACACACATACGTTACAAATAAAAGTTGTACGCCCTACCACCAAAATGATCCTCAACAACAACAACAAAAACAGGGAGCTCCACCGGCGTTAGAAAAAAAAAAAAACGACTTTGACGGAGGAAGAAATGTGTGACAAATGAAATGTGGCGATGGTCTTTGAGCACAAACACAAAAAAAAAAAACATGACGCCAAAGAGACAACAGCAAAAATAACTCAGTTGTGATGATGCCTGAAGCACAACAAATAAAGAAGGAGTCCGTCTTCCTCGTCCTTCTGTTCCCTCTTGCAGTGGCAGTGGGACTGTCCCTCTTGACTGCCCTGCCCGCTCCTACAGCCGTGTGTAGCCAGAGACTTTGCCCGTATCCACGTCGCGTACAGCCCGAAGCGGCATTGCATCCATCATGGCCCCCGTAGAAAACGGCGGAATAGGCGGGGATAATGATGACGATGCAACGGCCGCCTCCTCCTCGCGGTCCACCAGCGGGAGAAGCAACCCATCCACGACACTCCCACACGCATCGTCCATGCGGACCTTCACAGCCCGCAGTTCACCGCTTCCCTGCGCCTTATCCGTACTCCGGTTGCTGGACTCGGTGGCGGGAGTGATTGGGCGGCTTAACAGCTGACGTCCCATGGAGGGAAGAAAGTACACCGCCTGTTTGTACAGCATGAAATAAGCCGCCGCGATGGCCGGTGACCATAATAACAAATCACGAATACCACGCGGAAGCCGCTGCAAATACTCACCGAGCGTGTAAAAACGCTGTTGTCTGCATGCATCCTGCCCGTGGTACCGGCACCAGGACTGCAGCGGTGTCTGTCGTCGGGCCCCCGAATAGACGCATGCGGTGAAGAGTGAAAACCGCATCAAATTTTCCCTCTTCCCCCTTTTTTTTTTTTTTTTCCTTCGTGTTCCCTAAAGAAACTGTGTCAATGACACAAGAAAGGGAAAGAAAAAAAAAAAAGAAAAAAGAAAAAAAGAAGAATAACGGCCAATAACGACGCAGAAACAGACAGGCAAACGCACACATACATACGCACAGAATTCCATTCTCCCGCCCTCTCCCTTTTCTGTGCTCCACTTCCTGACGCCTCTCTCCTTCACCCCGCTCTCACCCACGCCACTTCTTGCCGCTAACAAACATCGCCTTTCGTCTGCTCTTTTCACTTTTCATCGCCTTGCGTGTTGCCTCCTGCAGCGTAAGAAGATGTCGCGCGGTCGCCAAGGCATTCGCTGCTGAGGCGGATGAGCCTCGTGATGCGCCATGAATCAAGGCCGTCGCGGCGCGGTCACACCTCTGCCTCAGTTGTGCACGTTGTCGCTGCTGTAGGCCATGCTCTTCGTTGATGTGCTGCCGCAGCGCCGCCACTTCCTTCTGCCAATGGTGTCGCTTGCGGCCCTCCATCATTGCCTCCTTTGAGAAGCGGCGGCTTTGTTTTGCACTTTGCTGCCAGCTGCCCACACAACGTACACAAGAACCTCTACTGATACTGCCACTGCTGCTAAGGAGAGTTGCAGGCAATCCCGCGGTCAATGGCATCAAAAGCCATCGCCGTAGCATCAGAGACCAAAGGAGATGGAGAGACGACGGAACTGTCCTTGTCGTTTCACTCCCTCTCTTCCCCTCCCGCCAGCGACGGCAGGAATTTGGTCGGCGCACAGAATTCCCCTACAGATTCCAAAGAATCACCGACTCACCGCAGCATAAAAGGCAAAAAAAAAAAAGAAAAAAAGGAAAAGCAATGAGGCAACAGAATGCATCCCAAAGCTCTTGATGCATGCGAGCCATACACACAGACAGAAACACACACATTGCAGGTGAGCCCATTCTTGCATGCCCTCTTGCGATGCCGCTCACGCTTTTGGAAAGGGGTCGGTGGCGGGCACATGCTACATTGCGAGCATGCAAACATCCACAAGAAAAAATAGTGCTTAAGCAGTCAGGCGTAAACCAAGAAAAAAAAAAAAAGAAGTCGAAGGATAGAGGAAAAGAGGTGACAGAAAAAAAAAAAAAAAGTGAGCGGGAGTAGCCATTGAACTGCCACGTGTACGCATCCCGCACTCCCCCAATACTGCTGGCCACAAACAAATAAGGAACAGAAAGGACATAAGTGCCTCTCCTATATGCATCATCACTCCATCTCAAAACTTTCTTCTCCCTCTCTTTCTATTTCTATTTATAATTCTCCTACACCTCCTTGTTGTTGTTCTTGTTGTTCCATCCTTCTTCTTTGTACATTGACCGCTTTCTTCCCTTTACCTACTTGCTTGCAGTTGCTTTGCTCTCACCCTCTCGTGTACGCACAGCTTCTGCCGCCACAACCAGCCATTTTCCTTTCGTTTTTTTTTCTCTTTTTGCTCCGACTTCCGCCACTATATATATATATACGGATATGTATGTACATCAGGTGCATTGAGTGTAAACTACGTGAGCTTCGGCAAAATCCATCAACAGGGCAGAGAAATAAGTCAAGTGAATATCTCCCGCTCTCTCTGCATTAGCGTGTAGGTTTCTCTAATCATCCCCTGCGTCATCGTCACCCTCGTCGTTCGTGGCAACTTCTTCTTCCTCTTCGCCGCGTCTCGCTGCAGCCATTGCCTGCCACTTCTTGCGCTGCATTTCGTCTTGGTCGGCCCACAATTTTGCAAGTGCCTCGTCTGTGTCCGTGCCAATTACGAGCAACAGACGCCGGACGGCAGCCTCGTCCACCTCACCGTCATCATCCCGCAGTCCTTCTTCGTTCTTTGAATCCGCGTCATCATCTTCTGGCATCTCCTCATTGGGAGGTGCGTCCTGGCCGTTCTGCTGCAGCAGCGAAACCCAGCGATCACGCGCGTCCCGGTAAGCACTGGCGGTGCGTAGCATTCTTAGCAGGGCGTAAAGCATGACGCTGTGCTTCTTCGCTGCGGTCTCCACAAGGGTGGCCAATGCCGCTCCGCGTTCTGATGCCGTCGAGTTCTTTGCAACACCCTCTTCTTCTTCTTCTTCATCCAGATAGTCGGCAGGATTTACCGCACACACATACTCAGCATCATGCATCAGCACACGCAGCACACGGCTCACACGACGTGCCTGACGCGGTTTTGGTTGCGGCAGTGGTTCCTCACCACCATCCTGCAACATGTCATCCGCATCGCCTTCCCCCTCCTCATGCTTACCCTCAAGACCTATCCGCAGCGGCCGATTACGCTGATACGATGCGACGGGGTTAAAAGCCCGGAGAAGTTGCATAAATGTGAAGGGCTTCACAAGCGCTGCGACCTTTGCTGGTGTATCCGTCTGTTTAGGGGTGCTGTCAAAAAAAAGATAGCACCAACATCGCAGGACACGGTACAAAATCATAGAGGTAGAAATACGTTCATGACGAGGTATCTCACTTTTCTTTACAAGCTCAGTAATCGCAGCCGAACTTGGAATGGCTCCTGCAGTAACGGCGGCAACGAACTCCGCCTCTTCCTTCTCCCGTCGCTCGACTTCAGCCAGGTCAAGAACATCATACATGCGGTCCTGTCCCACCCGTATCTGCTCCCGCTGATCCGTAAGCTCCTTCTTCAACGCACCAATCAGCGCCTTGCGTATGTGTAACATAAAGCGCTGTGCCTTGTAGAAGTCTCGACGTGCTTCTTCCACGGCGCTTGCGGCGTCTTCAATCATCTCCTCCTCATTATTGCCCTCGACTCCTCCAGCCGCGGCGGCGCCATCTTTGCCATCCATTTTGTCTACCTCATCCGTCGATTTACCGGCAGCGGCGGCTGTCTCTTCTTCATCTAGGAGTTCCTCCGCCTCACCCTCGGCCTCTTCATATTTGGACCATAGCGCTTCCTCTTCCTCTCGCCGCAACCGCAATTTACTCCTGCACTGACGATAGAATCGCTGAATGGTGTCAGCAGCACGCTTTTCACGCAGTGCTCGTTCGCTTGCCCACATTTGTCGTTGTACTTCTGCCTTTTTCTTGCGTTCGGCGGCGGCACCGCGGCGTTCCTCCTCCTGCAGCACATGCAGAAGATACAGCGCAAGGTACTCCTGTGGGTTGCTGGGCTGCGCGAGGACGGTCTCGGCCACCGCCTTTGCAAGCACCGGCCCCACGCTGCTCTTGAGGTATGCACTCTCCGTCATTTTGTTGTTTATTCCTTTCCCTTCCTTTCCTTCAATCGGAGAGCGTAAAGAGAAGGCCGGTGGAGGGGAAAAAAAAAAGAAAAAAAGTAAAAAAAAAAAAAAAGGGACGCAAGCCAGAATGACGAGAAGGAAAAGCTGCCAGAAAATGTCAAAATCACATGATTCCCCTCGTCTCCACTTCCTCCATTTCGTGTAGTAACGCCTCCGCACGACGGGCTTTTCTTTTTTTTTTTGTTTTGTTTTGTCCCTCCCTTCATTTCTCTTTTCCCCCCATCGCCAGAACTTTCATTTGTTCCTCTTGTGTGTGTGTGTGTGAGGCGCCAGAAAGAGAAAAGCGGGTGTTTCATGTAAAAAGAAAAAAGAAGAGGGCAAATGAGAGACACGTGCAGCCGCGGTCATAAAAGGAAAAAAAAAAAAAAGGAAAAAAAAAAATTTGTTTTATTTTCAACAAAGTAGAAAATGACACTCCATGCACTTGTCTATTTGCA